TATCAATATATCTAACTAGCCATCCATATTAGCAGCTTATGTGGTCTTTTCTTCTTTTGCCCTTATCTGTCCATTATCATATACATCTACAGACTACAGACATCTATAGTCTACCAAGACAACCCATCAGTCTATAAATCTTTCTATTTACCTGTTTTTTTATAGATGTATCTGTTATTAAAGTTATATAATTCCTGTCGTACAAGAAGAAGACCGTTCGCTGTCGTGGACGCGGTGTTAGAAAAACTTTACAATAATTTCTCAATTAAGATTCCAGATATACAGGGTGTTCGGCTACTCGTATTGTAAAATTTACCAGTAGATTCTACATTCAAAATGGTATCAAAAAGTCCTAATTAACTATGGTCCGAATTTCAACAGTTTCGGAGTTATTTCCCTTTTTCTGTTTTTTTTTTTTATTTTTATTTCACGACCTTGCTTCAAATAAACAATGATAACTCCAAAACTAAAAGGTGTTGGTCAAATCTGTTCATACCATTGAAAACTACGTTAAATTTCCAATAAGATGTGATCGATACTAAACTTGTAAACGATGGTGAAGAAAGTATTTTAATAGCCAGAACTTCGAAAAAAATTTTTTTTTTTTTCAAAATTGAAGCACTTACTAAATGATTCTAAATTAGTATGTCCAAACCTAGAGAACAGAAAATTTCAGAAAAAGTATTCCATTTAATATCCTTTTTAGTGGTGTAATTGCTTTTCGATTAATTTTTTCAAAGATGAAGAAATTGATGAAAGAAAGGAAAAAAACCGCGGCTGCCGGATTGGTAAGGTGGAAAGATCAATAATAATTTTAAAAAATAAAAAACGTAAGGAAATTTTGAATGAATGCACTAAAACCGTTTTGAATCTTAAAACTCTTTTATTCCGAGAAATAATAATATAATAATCCTTTAATCAAAGTTGCAGTCGTGTTGGTAAATAAGTAAATAATTGCACTATTTCGTTTCTAACCCAAATTTAAAAAAATTAATAAATTCATTCAAAATTTCCTTAAGTTTTTACCTTTTTTTTAATTTTCCACCTTACCAATTCGTCAACCGCGGTTTTTTTCCTTTCCTTCATCAATTTCTTCATCTTCGCAAAAAGAAATTAAAAAAGCAATTACAATACTAAAAAGGATATTATATGGACCAGAATTTCTGAAATTTGCTGCTTTCTAGGTGTGGAATTAGTTGTTTAGAACCACCGTAGTAGGTTTTTCAACTTTGAAAAAAAATTCACTAGTTTTCATGGTCCGCTTGACCAATTAATATCTTTCAATTAATTAATTTTTTATGTCAATTAAAAATCTTAATTATTTGAAAAAAAATTTCAATGTTCTCGTTAACGTAGTTAAATTTAACGTAGTTTTCAATGGTATCAACGGATAAGTTTGAAGTAAGGTAGTGAAATCTTAAAAACTCAGAAAAAGGGAAATTACTCCGAAACTGTTGAGATTCGGACCATAGTTAATTAGGACTTGTTGGTTCCATTTTAAATGTGGAATCTACTGGCAAAGTTTGTTACACGAATAGCTGAACACCCTGTATTTATTTACTTATTTATTTAATGAATTCCAGTCTTGCAGGAGTAAACTTCCAACTAGCCGTTGGGTCTCACGGACAAGGGACTAAATCGCGCTTTAATGACCTTCATCCAGAAGATCCTGTTAGTCGATGTTATTTATGGAAACTGTTGCGAAGTTTTGAAAAATGTTAAACAATTAATTTACTATCAATTAAAACGATAAATTATTTTTCGCTTGAAGAAGTTTCGGTTGGAGAATATTTCGTTTTTCCGAAAAATCGTTCAGAAAATGTATATTGATGAGTATCTTGCTATTTTGAGATAGTTAAGCCCCTATTCGTATCCCCCTTTCCTAGAAAGTTAAATCAAAACTGTAGCTCGTGAGAAAATACACAAAAATAAAAGTTTATTCGTTTCGGATTTCCTAATTAAAAAATAACGGGGGGGGACAAAGTCAAACTCATCCTGTATAATTATCCTAGCTCAACTTCATAATAATTTCTATACTTGCATAATTTCAACCAAGCAAAAATTCAAAGTTGTTAGTTACAATGGCGTGCGTAGCACGTTCTATTATTTTTTTTTTTTTTGCTGAATTTGGAACAAAACGTTCCAAAATTCCTAACTAATACCCAGCAATTTGTAGTTCATCGGAACAACTGCACAACACGTTAACATACATATGCATCGGGTCGAAAAATAAGTTTGTACCTTTAGTTGATTCATTCAATGAAAATTTCAAATATACGTAAACAAATTTAATTAATAATATATGAACCATTTTGTTCCACTTCCTGTTGCCATCTTCCATGAGATATCTTTTTTAAATTTCGTCCTCTCAAAATTTCTCAGGTCTTTGTTTGATGAACTTTTTCATTTGTTTTCCGCGATCTTTAACTGAAGTAAAGTTTTCTCCAATAATAAAGTTTTGCAGAGCTGTAATAAATGAAAATCTAAAGGTCGTTGAATAGGGTAGTTTGGGCAGCACATCCCAGCCAACTTCCAACAATTTTTATCTTTAAAGAGATGTGAGACTAGCGTAACCCCGGTGGAAACAATCACCAATGCTGGTCGTTTCGGATCATTTGTTGAATTTCATTTCAAATCTAATTGTCTGCAGAATACAGTAGAATTGACGCTTTTCCTGAGCGAAGCTCATGAGATACCATTTTTCAATTCCATAAAATGCACATTAGCTTCTTGGATGTATACCGGCTTTTGGAGTCGTTAACGGTGAGTCGCTGCGTTTTTTTCAGGATTTTCCTATCTGATCATTGTTGTAAAGGCTCTGGGATGACTCGTGTCATTTAGAGTATTTATGAAAAAAGTATGAATTTGGTCAGCATCGATGGTATAAAGACGACCAGAGCACTTTTGTCCTCCAACTCAAAATAACGGCTTCTGGCACAACCAATCCACTAACGATCTGGCTTTCGGCCAAAGAGTCATTGAATGACTCTTTGGGATGAATTCGAAGTTATGCACATCACAACGTTTCTTTCGAGCCGTTTTTCGTTTTGCTATTTATTTATGTTTTTTATTAAACAAATTTCCTACATTTTTTATTAGCAAACCACCTTGTAAAAATAAGATCTCGAACGCAACTGACGAATAGAAACATCATAACTAAACCCTTTTCAAAATGTGAAAACAATAATGATTAAGTAATTATCGCTTCAAAACACAAGAGGGATTTTTTTTTTAATTTACACCCGTAGAATTATCTAAAAGCAAATATAAGGTCAATAGAGAAATATAGATTACTTTTATACTCTTGAGCGGAGAAGTCACTCTGTGGTCACATCAGTATACCTAGCCACTCACTTAGCCTAGCCTAGCCACACTAGGATGTGATCACGGAGCCATCGGTGTCGAGGATTATCAGGAAGAATGGCTCAAGAAAGCTAGGTTACTAAGGAATTGGGATGGTCGATGAGTGAGACGTGGAATTCGTTCTATCTCGATTTAATGGCGTGTGAAGTGTAAGGGAAGTTGAGGTCATCTGAATGCTTTGGCTGTGCATTCTATGCAGTATGATAATGTCAGTTTGAGCAGTGTGTTACTTTAGTTTTTATAGTTAATGGATAGTTTGGATCTTATGTCTAAGAGAGGAGATAGAAGTTTGTATCATCTGTTTAGTTTCGTTTAAGTCTATTATAGGGATGCACGTGAGGCGTGTTTCGATTTACTGTCCTAAATCGCAAACACGTTTTTGATATGTGTATAAAATCTTTATCGCTCAGCCTTCCTCATAGTCCAACCTCTCGCAGCCATAGGTTACTACTGGAAATACTTTGCTTGAACTGCGAACTTATCAAGATCAATCAGCGTCTGCAGTAATTGCGAGAAATACAAAGTCTGTCAATGCCTGCACTTTTTCTCCCTCTACTTGCCAGTTATCAATCACGGTTGCCATAATCTTGCTTTTTGAGATTTAACAACAACTTAGATTTGGCAGTTTCTTCTTTCGCCTTCGTCATAAGGCTCCTCATCTCGTCCTCGCTTTCGGCCATCAAAGTGTTATCATATGCATATCTCAGATTGTGAATATTTCTTCCAGCGATTTTAACCCCAGCCATTTTGATTCCTGAAGGCACGTCGCATGATGTGTTGTTGTACAGGTTGAATAGGAAGGGTGAGATTATTCGACCATGCCGTACTCCTTTCCCACTCTTAAAGTAGTCTTTTGTTCCGTGCCTTGCTCTTACCGTGACTGTTTGGTCATTATATCGATTCCTCATAAGGCAGACAAGACAACTTGGTATCCCCATACAATCAAGCACTTGCCAAAATTTATTGAGCCGCACAATCAAAGGCTAAGAATAGCCAATAGAACAGAAATATGTTTTTCCGAAACGCCATCTTTTCTCTATTATCCAGCGGTTAATGCCAATTTGGTCTCTAGATCCTCTGCCTTTCCTAAATCCAGTTCGTACATCTGACAATTCTCGCTTTATATGTTGAATTCAACCTTGCAAGATCTCGAACATTACGTTACTCGGAAATAAGTGAATCGTCTTGAANCTCGTGCCATTGACTTTTTTATCTCAACTAAAAACCTTAATTAATTGTAATATATTAATTGGTCAAGCGGACCACGAAATTAGTGAATTTAATGATAAATATTAATATTAATGTAATACCCCTGAGAAGAATTCTTAACATCAAAAAATAAACTTAGTCCAGGAAATCTATTAGGAAATCGTCACAATAGACAACTGTTTAAGTGCTAAAGGAACAAATAAGAAAACGACTCCATTTTGAAAAGGAAAAAATATTGGACCAGGGATGATCAAACTACTTGGAAATATATGAATTCATTAAATGTTTGTCCAATACTGCCTTTATATTTTGAAATAAATTTTTTATAAAGTATAGGAAATTGAGGAAAGGAATCGATCCTTTTGAATTAAACCGGGTGCCAAAGAATTTCGCAGAGATTCGCTGGTCCCCTCAAAGGCGCAGCACCGATCGGCTGCCAACGACTGTAACCAGCCGAGGAAGGCTTGGTCGTCAGTTTCCATCCGGTAAACAATCCAGCTTATCCATTTTATGATAGTACAACACCAACACAAATGGACCAGGACAGAGGTAGAGACTTCAGGAGGAAAAAGTACCCTCCGTACAAGGTATGCGCTGTTTGATCAGCCCCGTTGGCCAAGTTAAAGACGAAAAAAATTGACTTTTTTTAATAGAAAGAAGAAAAGCCGATGAAGAGGCCGATCATTCTCATGAAGTCCAAAGACCCGGACAAGACTGCTCAGAAATCGGAAGAAATCGCACCGCAGACAATTCTTCTCAAAACGAGGGATGGAGAAAACAGAGCTGCCTCTCCTCAAGCTTCAAGTTCAAAGTAATTTAAAAACATGATCAAGTGTGTGTCTGTTTTGCCACTCAAAACACAAGAAAGCTCATTAAAAATCACATAAATTCCAATTGTACAATGGCATCCAAGTGTAGTTGAGTAGAAGAACTGCAAGTTGTTGAATCGAAAGGGATTTGTCGTCCCTCAAAACACCACTGTGACGTACTCCATTGCTTCGTAACTACCAACTTTTGAGTTTTTTATCGGTTAAAATTATGCAAGCATGTATACTGTGAAGTTGAGCAATGAGGAAGATTAAAGGGCAGAGCAGAAGGATAATCAACTGATCAAAAATGAGCGAGGGATATTGCCAATTTTGTAGTATTTTCTTTTCCTAGCATTTTTATTTTATTTTTTGTTATAAATTGGATTAAAATTTATTAGAAATTATGTTTTTTACTGAAGGAAATTCAATTAAGGGATTTTGAAAAATAAAAGGTTTTAATTCCATAATTTTGTTTATCGGGCACAATAATTTTTTAAACAATTAATACTATGTATAATTGTACTCTGTTAGCTAAAATCCCTGTGCACCTGTTAGGCATACTGTTAATAAGTATTTCACTAATTTCATAAGGAATTTCACTCCATAGATATTGCAACGCTGCAGTCGTTGTTGCAAGTCGACTGAATGTGGATGGTGATCGAAAAGCCTTCTCTGTTATGCAACCCACATGTGCTCAATGGAATTGAAGTGTGGAGACAATGGGGGAAGGGGCAGATGGGAAATTCCCAGGTTTTCTAAATATTGTTGAACAACTCTGCTTCTTTGAAGTCTGGCATTGTCATCCAGAAATCAAAAATACCTGCTAATTTGAGAGATGTATTCATCGATAATTTCTTGGATGTAATGGACTGTAGTGATGTCGCCTTCAACAATAAGGAGTCCAGTTTGTTCTCCAGTGTAAATCCCAGTCTATACCATTACACCACGACTTCCAAACTGCACTGAAGGGAGCATGAACTGGGGCATAGTATACATCCGCTGTTCTCAGTAGACTCTTCGGCTCTGCTATCACTGTACAGAAACACATCATTAAACATAACAGCATTCCATTTGGTGTTCTCTTTTAGACGCTCATTGTACCATACCCTACAATGCATCCAACATTTGCTCAATAGGATTGAGGTCTGGAGATATTGGGGTAAAGGGCAGATAGGAAATTCCCAAGTTATATAAACATTGATGCACAACTCATCCTGTATGCAGTCCGGCATTGTCATAAAGAAAAATCCCTTCCAATGAGATCCCTAATTTGAGGGACGAATTCCTCGATTATATCTTATACATAACAGACTCCGATGAGATTGCCTTCAATAATATGCAGTCCACTTAGTCCTCCAGTGTAAATCCCAGTCCAGACCGTTACACCGCCTCCTTCAAACTGCACTAAAGGGTGCACAAACTAAGGCATTGCATGCAGAAACACACTCATCAGTAAACAAAACAGCATTCCATTTGGTGTTTTCTTTTAGAAGCTTGTCGCACCATATTCTTCTGAGTTGCTGGTGGCGGGCTGTTGCTGTGGTCGACTCAAATTGGCATCGGTTATGAGGCCAACTTCCCACAAACAATTACAAAACTTACGTGTTGGTAAAAGCCTTGCCAAAACATCTTGTGCATCATTTAGGATGTGGCGGGCACTATGGCACGGGTTCTGTCCTGCAGCAATGACAATATTTTTGACCTCTCTTAGCATTAATGCACTAAGATCCACTACCAGGCCTCCTATTGGTCTCTCAGAATCAGGCTAAAGACGAGGAGACCTTAATTACTCATACCCCCAATAATATTGTGAAGTTCTGTTCAACATGATGTCTTTCCGTGGTTAAAGAGAATACAACTGGATTAAAATGGATAGAAGACGAGAAAAGGTGTTTGTTCACACTTTTATTTAAATGAGTAATCTTCATGTTTACTATTCTTAAGTAAATCTGTTATTAAAAATGAGGATTAACATTTTTGTTTTATCCAAGTAACAAGAATATATTGATTAATTTAATTAACATTAATAGAAAACGAATAAATTACAAAAATCCCTATTTTGAGAAGTTTAGATAAACGGATGTTTATTTAAATGGATAATTATATAAATATATTCATAAATGGACAGTTGGATGTATAGATGGGTGAAGGTATACACTAATATACACTTAAAGACAAGAAAATAATGGTAATTGGTCTTTATTTGTTTATTTGCCATAATAACTTATTTATCTGCCTAGTGTATCTAATCCTTTTACCCTCTTTAGATTAAAAATCAAGAAAATCCGTTCAATTTTCATCCTGTCCAGAGCCAACTTGTGTAAGAGTAGTAAGTTTGGTGTTTTAATTGTTTTTTAACAATAAATTTGAATAAAAAATGAAATATTAATTTTATTTCCTTAAAAGCGTAGTTTTATGTCAAGAAGATATGCCCAGGCAGATGTTTTGATCAACAATGGACATAGTGTCCATTACATGGCCCAAGTCATGGGTGTGCCATGCATTACCATCCATGATGGTTTACAGCAGTTTAGGGCCACCAGAAGTATCAATTAAAGATAAGGTAGTGATTGACTACTATGTAAGGCATCTAGAGATGATCATTTTCTTGCTCTTATTGCACTTTGGAACCGTCATGGCTTCCTTGATAGGTAGTCAACTCGAAACGGTCTGTAATCTAAGGGTAAACACTGTGAGAGCTTAGAAGCCTAGTTTACTGCACCAGATTCTCTATTTCTGGAGAGACATAGAGAAAGGCGACTATTTGCAAATCAGCATCTCTTGAAAATGTGGGGCTGTTCTCTTCACAGATGAGTTCCAGTTTGGTTTGTGACAATCATATGACTGGGACCATGGATGAAAAATGCTTTGCTCCATGTACCATGTGAGAGCCACTTTCTTATCAAAATTTGCTTATAGAGTGACCCAAATAATGTGAGGATATCATAGCATTAACTCCATATAAATAATGAGTAGGAATGCCACTGGATCGGACGATTTTACTTGAGCAAAGCAGAGCATCTTTATGTCCATGATTTTTTGGGGGAAAATATGTGCATCCTATTCTTTATGGTTTTTTACATTAATATTTTGTGTAACATGTCTTTTGTCTTTGTATTGAAATGTTTTCAATATTTTTTGTTTAAATTTCAGACTATGCAAAGATTCAGAAGTGACACCATCATATCAAATCACGTCCCGGTCAACACAAGCTGAGCGTAAATAAACAAGAAAAATTCAACTTTTGCACCTTTATTAATCATAAATCGGTTTACAGCTGAAAACCCCTTAACTGCACCTCCGATTATGAAAGAGTCGACAAAGTTTTTAGAAGATAACTGCCTCCAGATACAAGACAACGTGTTGGAATTTCTGACGGACACGACGGATTTCCTAGTCGTCGGATGTTTAGGGCTGCAAGGGGTCGGAAAGTCAACAGTGATGTCCCACCTCGTCTCACCCCCATTAAGCGTTCCTAACACGTAAGGTCAATATTACTTTATCCCTATTTAATTTTCTTTTGTCGAATGTTTATAATTCTGTCATCCTTCTTTCAGGTCTGAACTGTTTAAAGTACAAACCAAAAGTAACATCGATTCAGCTACTCATTGCACTCAGGGGATTGATATTTATGTCACTCAAGAAAGAGTCATTTTGTTAGATACACAACCTGTTTTTTCACTCTCTGTTATGTCCAAGTAAGAATATAAAGCTTTTTGCAGTAAACTCCTTCAGAAATATACTTTTTTTTTTTTTTTAATCATTTAGATATTTATCAAATGAAGGAAGTCCTAGCTTAGCTGCCAGAAGTTGTTCAAGGGATGATCCCGATTATCCGTGTATCGAAAACGATATGGAACTTTTATCTCTACAATATGCCGCATTTTTGTTGTCCGTTTGCCATGTGGTCCTTCTTATACAAGATAATATTCATGACCCAGAAATGTCAAGGTATCAAAAAAAATCAACGAGTGTGTTACATGAATTTCTATATCAATAAATATTTTAGGTTTCTTCAAATTGCTGAAATGTTAAAACCTTCAACTGGGATTACTTCGGGAGAAGAGCCCATTGTTGAATATTTCCCCCATACCATTTTTATACATTCAAAAGTTAAACCACATTATTTTACAAGCCAAAGGTTGAAAGAAATTCAGGTAATATGCTATTAAATCTAATTTAGAAGTGTCAATATTTTCACCTTGACACTAATAACTACAATATAAATCCATTTTCAAATGGCAAATTTTCTTTTCTTAGGAAATGTACAAGAAAATGTACGCTCAGTCTCAGTTAGTTATTAAAAGCGGAATTGGAATTGCAAATGGTAGTGTTTTAAAATCGTTAACCCCTGAATTGTGTGACTGTGAACCAGTCAATGTCTTTTTCCTGCCATCGTTTAAACGAAAAGGTAACTTTCAATCGTCTCTTAGCTTTCATAAATTCATAACACAATGTATTTCAGGTGATGCCAAATCCTACGAATTGACATCGTATACTGAACTAATTAAAAGTTTACGATACCAGATCAATGGACTGTCACCTGCATCACTGACGAATACAGTCCTATCGGAAAAAAACTGGTACAATTAATGTTTTTTGTTTGTTTTTTTAAATTTATATAATAAATTAATTGGTGTATTTTCCAGGTATTATTACGCTAGTAAAATCTGGGAGAATGTTAAGAAGAGCTCACTGTTTCCAGAGTACGGACGACTTTTAAAAACTCCAGCATCATTAGAAACAGATCTTGCCATCGATTGTCCCGTTTCGTGAGGGCAAAATGGGGGAAAGGAAAGAAATGGAGTTTTTATTTTGTTATTTCTTTTTATAATTTATTTTTTAAAAATGTTTGTACAGTACAATATTTATTGATGATTTTCTAAAGGATCTGGTTTAATTTCTATCAGAAGAAAAACACTAACAATTAAAACAATAAGTCTACATTTTTTAAAAGAGATTGTGATTTTGGTTATCCGATAATGATGGAATGGTACACCATACTATGAAGATAATATAAGAAACATTTGTACAAATTAAAACATAATTATCCATAAAAACGTATTAAACCCCATTTTCCTATGACTAACATCATTTTTATATGCTTAAAATAATGATTCTGAAGATTTTGTAGGTAAGATTGGACCAAATAAGATAAATTGAATCAACAATTAAAAATTACATATTACAAAGACTCAAGGATATGACCTACCACTGTAGAAATATTTTTAAAAAATTCCAAAAAAGGAATAGTACATTTAAATTAACAAACCTATTTAATGTTACACTCAGACTGAAATATGTTCCCAGCAACAGGAAATTTGCAGAAGTCATTATGATTAAAAAAAACTGGGAAAACCAGCGAATAAGGTCAAACCATAAAGACCAATATCGCTACTAGTGACCACCTAAGCTTTTTGAAGAGTTATTACTAAAAATAAATATAAGCCATTGCAGAAAAAAAGAAAATCAACCTCAACCACCAACTTGGATTCTGAACAAGACATTCAACAATAGACCAAATTTGTCGAATAATGGATGTAATAGAAAATCTTGTATAAAAACAAATTTGTTCTGCTATCTTCCTTGATGTCCGAAGGACTCATCAATAAACTAAAATGGATGCTACCAAAGCAGTCTGTAAATATTGTCAGCTCCTACCTAGCTGACATTCTAGAGACAAACAAGATTAATATTCAAAATTAAAAACAATAATAAATGCAGGAGTTATACAAGGTAGCATATTAGGTCCACTGCTTTACTTGTTATACACTAGTGATTTTCCGAATATAGAGGGTTAGGGATGGTTAAAAATTGCCACATTTGTAGATGACAGTGGTGATATCAGTAGGACCATCAACCATTCAACCAAAATCCTTGGAAGTACTGAGTTTTATTCACTTTCAGTTTACAACTTTCATTGACGTTTCAATCCCAAAAATAATTGGAACTGACATTACCTAGCTGCTCACATGTATCATATTTATGTGCATAAATCTTTAATGTTCCCATAATTAGGTTTTATTTAAATACTACATAAAGGAAAGTGTAGAATTATATAGCCACTTCACTGGTCAAAAAAATGCTTCTGTGCATATCAGAGAAGGAATTTGTATTTGTTCTTTCAATAAATAGCACAAATTAACACAGCCTCCCATGTTTTTACACGGCAGAATTGTATGTGATTTGGTTGTCTGGGTACCCGTTGGTGAAGGGTAATGAAAAGGCAGTGCAGGTTAAGGCGCACACACTGAGCAAATCTTGCCCAACAAAAGACAACCAACCACTTTGTTCACCATGTTTTGCTTAGTGTGAATGGGAGGTGAATTAGAGCTAGCAAAATGGTTGGCCTTGGTCGAGGTTCAGACTTTTGTCGGTAACATCAAAAGGGTTGGCGATTCCATATGGTCCTTGGCCCCCAAACCCTGGTTTGATGAGGACCCCTTGGCCTTAACCACTGCAATCCGGCCCTATAACTACAAATCAATAAAGACATGATTAACAGACAGCGACACTGTGTCTCAACCGGATAAGCAAAGCAGCTCTCGAATCAAGAGCCCTGTTGAATAGGCCGTGTAAGGTTGGTACACAGACACTTACTTTTATGCCCACATAATTGAAAGTAACAATTCCTTTGCTCCAGAGAACATGGGAATGCCTCTTGATGACAACAAGCATTCCGGTCTCCTGTTCCGATTCTTATTGTTTGTTTTAATGTATATAGTACTGAATGTTTTGTGTGTGTTAAGAGTGAATGTATTTATTGGCGTGAATGTGTAGTAATCGTCCATTGAAGGGTTGAGATAATTATATTCAAAAGCTCCAAATCACACGATATTCGAGTTCAAACAAAACTTTGTGATTCTAGACTGGAAAAATAAATGGAAATGGGGTAAAACTTCCAGAATGTACAATCTGTCGGTTCACTGACGGATCTAGAACGTATTTCACGATTCAGAAAAGTGGATATAAAAATAAGGGTGTAGGCTATCGTGTCAGATGGCCAGGAGGATTGAAACATCATCGTTAAATTAATGAATTTCAAAACCAAACTGAACAAGTTGGAAATGCAAAATAGTTAATCCTCATGAGAAGAAGATAACAATAAAAGAACTAAGAAATTGGCAGAATTATAAGTTTCTGGGCAGGATACTGCAGATTCAATGTGTATCTGAAGAAAATTGAAATGAATAAAGTGTGTAATTTCTGCAGAAGAAACAAATTCTGCCCTATTTACTGATAACTACGAAGCTCGTTTGTAAGGTAAACGTTTCTAAACTAGAATCACTCATTATAATTATAAGAAAATTAATAGATGAACTTAGGTTTCAGTGTGCTTCTTGAAAGGGACATATACATAAATATCTCTTAAAGAACTACGAATAACACATTAATTATAAAGATTATAAGGAAATCCCTGTCTTGGAATAGTTTATGCTTTGTTCTATTAAATAATTTGTAATATTTATGTTTACGTTTAGTTCACATTTTTATTTGACGTATCTTTATAGTAGTGTTTATTGTAGCATCATGTTTTTCCCGATAAATGGCCGAAACTAGTGATACATTTCCCTGTTCGATTTTTACCGTGTATAGTTCAGGAAGCGAGCTAATCACATTCAACTGCTTGGCAGCACGCAAACTATCCGATAATTCGAAGACACGAGTAAACAGCGATACAGGAAACATCTCGCGCATAAGCGGCAGAAACGCGATGTGATCAATTAAGTCATTCAATTTCTATAATCCTCTATGCCAAGTCGTCAACAGAGAATGCAAAAGATCCGTCGCCCCTGATTTCAGAACAACCGCTCAAGGGAACAGCTACACATTAACACCGAAGCACTTACACTAGAGGAGATAGAAGAAGCCGAAATGGAACTGAACAAACGGGAAGAAGGCAGGAATGGATCGTACATCACTCGAAGGGCTAAAAGCTGATTGACCATCCGAAAAGTATACAAACAATTAAGTCGAATCTGGCAGAATGACAGTAGCCAGCAATGTTCTTGCTAGCATCATCTAAAAGAATTAAAGCAGCTGTCAAAAAGCGACTGAGGAAAGAGCAAAAGGGATTTTGAAAAAATGGAGCATTCATTAGCAGTGTGGCGAGCCCGGGATATCTAGCCTTCAGGCCTCCTACATCGATCGTGGACAAATATGACTCATTCAGGAAAGAGATGACATTCCTATTAAAATCATTACCTAGTTAAATGTATGTAACAAAGAAACAACTGTCAATTGACCCATAAAGGGAAGCTTTCGGAACAGTTCAACGTGGACACAGGAGTTAAGCAAGGATGCATCCTCCCACCCACCCTCTTCATCATGGTGCTGTATGCGCGCATCCTGGAACGAAGGAAAAGAAACATTCAATGGGGAATGCATTAAAATTGGAAAACCTTGTCTCTCTTGGCGCCAAAGATAAACGGCCTGCTAACCAAAATAACGGCCATAAACTTTACAGTCAAAGAAGCTTTAACATAAATGCCAAAAAACAAAGAAAATGAGAATAAATCCTAGAAAGGATAACCCTCTGAGGATGGGGGGACGACAACCTCGAAGCATTTGATTTCTTTACCTAGCTAGAAACCAAAAAAAAGCAAATGTTGATCCTCATTTTTAAAAACGGATTTATTTAAGAATAGTAAACATGAAGATTAATCATTTTGTAAACAAACGCCTTTTCTCATCTTTTACCCATGTACCAGAAGTACGCAATATTATTGTGAGAATGAAACAGGGTGATTACTGGCAAGTGGATATCGCAGTTGCGTCTCGCAGAGCCTGGTCTCTCAAGCTTTTCTCAATTCCGAGAGACTGGCAGTGCCACACAAACTGCGTGATAGTGGATCGCAGCGCATTACGACGCTAAAGGAGGACAGAAATATTTTCATTGTTGCAAGGCAACCTAACTGAAGTACAAGATGTTTTGGCAAGGCCTTTAAAAGCAAAAATTTCTGTCTGTACAGTGATAGCAGGCACCAAATAGTCTCCTGAGAAAAGGGGATGCATACAATGCCTCAGTTAGTGCTCCCTTCAGTGCAGTTTGTTGGAGGCGGTGTAACGGCCTGGACTGGGATTTACACTGGAGGACCTGAACTGCATATTGTTGAAGGCAACCACACCGCAGTCCTTATTTCCAAGAAATTATCGAGGAATACATCCCTCAAATCAGGGATGTCATTGGCAGGGATTTTTCGATTTCTCGATGACAATGCCAGACCTAATAGAGGAAGAGTTGTTCATCAATGATTAGAAAACCTTGGAATTTTCCATTTGCCTCTTCCCCCTTGCTTCCAGATCTCAATCCCATTTAGCACATCTGGGATGCGTTGCAGCGAAGGCTTTTCGATCACCATCTAGTTGACCTACAACACTTTACTTTGCAACATCTATGGAGTGAAGTTCTTTATGAAATTAGTGACAACTTCATTAGCAATTAGCACTATGCCTAACGGGTGCACAGAAATTTTAACTAACAGAGGACATAACACACGGTATTAATTGTTTAAAAAATGTGTCCAATAAAGAAAATTATGCAATGAAAACCTATTATTTTGTTATTTTTTAAAATCCGTTAATTACATTTTCCTTCAGTAAAAAAAATCTAATAAATTTTAATGCAATTTATAATCAAAATAAATTAAAATGATAGGGAAAGTAAAAACTAAAAAATTGACAATATCCCTATTCATTTTTGCGTAGTTTACAAAAATATAAAACATCTCTAAATTTTTAAAATTAAAAAAAGTAATTTTTTCTATAGGGACCTTCACAAAACGGCTTTTTCCTAGTAAAAAAAGTAAATACAACCAGGTTTTCCTGTTTTCTACCACAAATAAACCAGCTGCTCCCAGGGACACTCCTTCAATGAGTTACACTTCGGTTGTTCTATTTCTTTAGTGGGCTTGTTTCCGGTGGCTCCTTCTTTCTTTATCCTAAGGACAGGCTGCTTGATTTATTTTCGAGGCAAGCTTAGATACGAATTCATCTGGGTAAATAATTATAAAATACCGAATGGAATGAATTACTGCCGAAGGAAAGATTTTTTGTAGAAACTTA